ATATATATATATATATATATATATATACATACATACACTTTCTAGAGTGGGCACTTATCACCAAAATTAAATGGGAAAAGATGAAGAGATCTTAGAAGGCTGCTTATCAACTTGATTTTTTTTTTTTGCGCAGACAGCTACATTGCTTCATGCCAATAACCTCCAAACAACTACTGGCATTCACTGGTCAGAGTGATGGTCTCACTTGGAGGACTTGAAAGGTCACAAGGTTCGCTAATTTTCTCGTAATTCCTGTGTTAAACAAGAATTCAATCTCTCACCCTTGTACCCTCACAGGTACAAAACAAGCTCCACCTATCCCTGACAGAGCTGGCCTGACCATTAAACTCTTTGGTGCAAGCAATTTACTGTATATGGTGGTGGTCAAGCCAGTCTTGGTATCCATCAGTTTTCTGGAATATTTGCTACAGCATCTGCCACTTGTTGATCCAACAGCTGGTACTGATAACCTTCCCTACGTTGCTGCTTGGTAAAATAGTTGTATTGCGAGTTGACTGGCATGTGATGAGCCATTGGCTGAAACCAATAGCTCTGCTCTTTGCTGCTTGGAAAAGTATGGGCGGTTCCTTTGCCACTGCCCCACCAGTTCACAAGCAAAGAATAAGCTTACCTCCTCCCATTCTGGACGGCATCCAGGTGAAGACATCAGCATTTGCAATGGTGTGTATTCCCTGGGTGGACCATGCTGTTGTATGTAACTTCTGGGTGGGCCTGGATAGTCTTGCTTATTCACTCTAAACCAACGTGATTGCACTACAGTGCCAGAAGGTATGGGGGTTGGTTATCCCTCAGTTTGAGTCACTCCCAATATAGTGGTTGTGTCTAAAGTCAGTCCATCCGAGAGGTGGCCAAAAAGTTGTTGCTGTGTGCTTTTTCCTCTATTGAATGGCCTAAAGTTACCACTCCATACTGGCTCACTACAGAAACTGCTTTGGTTCCTTCAAAAGATGCAAGTACAAACAAGAACCTATGCTAGGTCATTCACAAACATCTCCCACAGTCTGAATTGCTCAAATGGGTCCTAAGGTGGAGGAGTGAACAAAACCAATCCCAGTACATTATTACAAAAGACTACTGCAGGAATAAATGCACTACAGAGAAATAGTCCATTGCCAGGGCCATCAAGTAGAATACCAATGGTGGTGGAAAAAAGACACCATAAAGTATATGCATTTATTTTTGTGTCATTACCATAGATCGTGGGCATATCTCTTTAAACTGTGAGAGCTGCACATTCACAGCACTCAAGGCTCAGAAAATCAAAAAACATTTTCCAAGCAGCCTTTATTCTGAATAAATTCTATTATATGACAGAGAATTATCTTTGAGACTTGTAACGTGAGTTGAATTTAGTTACTATATAAATAAATGAACTTTCGTGTCCTCTTGATAGTTTCATATTGAGGCCAAAAGTTTGTCAAATAAAAAACATCTTGGTGAATTTTTCCAGTTATGTTTGTTATATATTTATCAAAAATACTTTGATGTTCCCAGCTCCATTCAAGTTTTGTAGTTGAACTAGTAATTTGTCAAATTCAATAGGCATATTCTTTCTGTTGTGAAGTATTTGAGTTGCTGCTGTAGTGACATAATGACTGGTATTGTTTTTGGCCCAAACCTTTTCTCCAATTCTATTTTTCAGTGTTATGGAATATGTGGGGCAAGAGTTTAATAAATGTTTTTTTAATATAGTCTCAAATGTTATGTTAGATCAGAAATAAAATGTATTTGTATTTATGGCAAAGTAACTAAGGATTTCTGCAGCTATCCCCAATTATGATCTTCTGACCAGAAAGAAAGCAACCAGTCAGCAGCATTCCAACATCCAATTCCATGCTAAGGGACTGACTGTCACATTTATAATGCACACACATCTTCAAGTGTAGGGAATATTTTATGGTATCACATGGATTCAAACCCAGTGCACCATCATCTTCAAAATCCAGAGCTCTAACACAGGAACCAACCTGCACCCAAAACAAAATGTTGTTATAAAATTCACACTTCACTGTTTAAACCACTTTTCCTTTCTATATCAAATGCTTTTAATGCATGTTTAACATAACTTCCATACTTGACATTTCTCAACCACACAAACTCAAAGACGCACACAAAATCAATAAATCACAGGCATATTCTAACATCTCAACCAATCATTACCAAACCACAAGACATTTTCAAACCTTTTAGGAAAACAGGAAACTGTAAACAAAAATGTATAATGTACAATGTATTTTCAGCTGTTATACAAATTTATAGTTAAAGTAGTAATAGGTTCAAGAAAATTTAATATTTTTTATTTATAACAGGGAGACTAATCAATTATTTTGAATAATACAATCACACAGTATATTGGCATCATACAATTAGGTTATGGCAACAAAATAACTAAGAAGGCTATTACCTACTGATTAGGCCTAAGTGACTGTATAAGGTAATTATACAAGACATTTGCTCACATTTGTTACAGAAATATTTCTTATACTTTGAATAGTAAACTAAAGAGCAGCAAATTACAAATGCTTAATAACCTTAGCTACTATCAATAATCTTTTTCAAAATGTTTATAGTCTACACTCTACACAGTTAGGTTTTCTGTCCATGTTTTTAAATTTTGAATCCTTCATTCCTGGTATTCAAAACGTTTTATACATTTAATTGTTCCAGAAGATAGTTCTTTATCTATATCTTTTGTTACTCTAAGAATACTAATCTTTCCTTAAAAATACCTTTCATTATATAATAATTTGGAAGTTTTTAAGTAATATATAATATGATATTACATTTCTCATTAAGCTAATATAAAGGCTTTTTAGCAAGAGCTTAAGCATAACATGGGTAATATTCATTGATTCAAAGGCATCTTTACGACAACAGAACATAAAGTTATCCTAAAAAAACACAATAAAACAAGTCTAACTTAAACAATTTCCACATGGTAACTTTTTCATTGTAGAGTTACTGTATAAAACATAAATTGTACGGTTATCAAAACAAAGCTTACATGACCTTACATATTTTCAAATTAGTCTTTTAAGAAAAATGTTTACTAATTAATTGAGTATATTTTAAAAGTCAATTAGTGCATATAAAAGGTGAAACAAACCAAAAGGACAGTGATGGATGTAAAAAAAAAACTAGGAAAAGTGAATGGGCTGCACTCCACGTGACATTAAACAGGAAGACTTTGTTTATTCTTTAATTTTATCCTCATACCTATTCGAGCATATGATTTCTTTGTATAAAATCTTAAACTTTTATCCAGGACTTTTTTTTTTTTGTTATAAAAACTAAAACTCATAAAAATTGCAACAACAATTTATTCAATTTATTTTGCATTTTGTACAAAAAACCACAGTCCCACGAGCATACAAGTAACAAGCAAAGCAACCAATGAGCATGCCTACATGATTACAGAAAAAAGTTAATTTTTTAATTACACAAGCTTCTCTATATACAAATAAAGGTAAATATTGTATTTACCTTTTTTTTTTTTTACTTTTATTAATGAAAATAATTTATCAAATAAAGACCGAAGGCCCTGATACAATTTTATGTTAGGGAGTAATCTAGATCATCACGTACACAATGGTTTTAGTTTCAATTTTACAGGAACATTAGAATATTGAAATACTTGAAGTGAGTGGATTAATCCTTTGGCAGTAAGTTCTTTTGAAATTGGTCACACATTCAACATTTCAAAAAACTAGAATTTCAAAATTTTCATTATAACAATGGATAAAAAAACAAACAAACTATTATTGAAGTTTCACTGAAAACAAAGTAATGCAAAGAATTCTGCTACAAATTTCAAAACATTTCAGTTTTAACTGTTAGATGATTTTAGAAAATGTCAATGAACCTAGGAACTCCCTCAACAGTAATACAGCTGTTAACATTATTTTTCCTAACCTTATTGTAAATACACTTAAAGCTTTCTTGACATAATTAATTGTGTATCTTATACGTATGGTGTTTTGAATTGTCTTCCACTCACTACAGTGACTTTATATTTATATAGAAATTGATACTACTAACTTATTCAGCAAACAAGCTGTTTAAAACACTAAAAATAAATATGAAGTTCAATGAAGTCTAGGATTACTGACGAGAGGTGGAATTCCTAAAATACAGTATAACTTGGTGGTAAGTGGTAAATCAAATGATAGACTGGGCTTCAAAACAGAAACATAATACCAGCACCACCAAAGACAGTTTCTGTGAATGAAATAAAGTTACTCCTTCCTTCGTAAAAAAGTGTTTTAATTAAACACTAAAGGTGTATAAACGTGTTTAATTTTGAAACTTTAGAGGTAAACAAAAAATATATATAAATAACGACTGTTTACATAAATAAAAGTTCTGACAAGTAATTTAAAAATACCTTGAGGTTTAAATTATGAATTCACAGACTTACACCATAATTTGTTCAATTAACTGTAAAAGTATTACAAAAGTATTAAAAATAAGAAAATTTAACAAAAATCATCCTATTTTAATAAATATTATTCATGCAACTATAGAAAAAAATTTAATGGTAGCTATATGTGAATTATTTTTTTAGTAAAATGTATTAAAAAAGGCATGCCCAATAATAGAAAAAATATCCCCTAAACAGCTAAAGAACACCTTGTATCATTGATTCTACAGTAGTAACTGGTTAATATGTATACTGAGTTCTACTTTATTAAAACTAATGTACAGTGCAACATCAGTGAAGAATATCAAAGTTGATAAACTTTCTCAATGTTTTAACTCAAAGGACTTCATTCAAGGTCCAAACGTAGTTCTTTATCTCTTAATAACTGCTGATCTCTTTTACTTGAGTTAATTAGTTTAACGTTAACTTACAAAACCAACAAATCAATGGTCTGTGATAATGTTTTCTGACAAACTGTTTGAGTTAAAAAAAATCCTTCTATCAACTGTACTGTTAAGTATAAAAATAAAAGAGAAGGAACTTCTAAGAATCGAAATACTTTGAAATAAATACTCCTGTAGGGAGCATAGTCCACATAACAACTTTAACATAACAGTTTTTGTGGCCTCGTTTGAAATGGAAGCAATTAATTTAATATAAATAGAACAAAATGCCACAATATTCAGGAAAATGGCCTCACCATCCCAGAACTAAAAAAAAAAAATTACTTATAACCTAAACATGATTTTCAATTTGTCTAATGGTTGATTAGAATTATACACGGACTTTTCTCTACACTAAAAAATACTCTTATTTGTGAGCTTTTGGCCTTCTTACTGGAGCCTTCAGCAGGCAACAATGTACTGAGAGATATAAATTCTTTAATCTGTGGAACATTGCTTTAAAATAGACATCTAAGCAACAATCGTAACAATAACTGACATCTGTATTAAAATAACTTTAATACCAAACGTCGTTTATTGTTAGGATTGTTGCTTAGATGTCTATTTTAAAGCAGTGTTACACAGATAAATAAATATTTATTGCTCAGTAGACTGTTGTCTGATGAAGGCTCGAGTATTAGGGCCAAGAGCTGAAAATAAAGGTATTTTAGCATAGAGAAAGGTTTGTGTATAATCCTACACATTCTGCTATAATTTTAATTATTTTTATATAAGAAAATAAAGAGTAAGTTTGCTGAAGAAACTGGACAGTTCCAATCAAAGTCCAGTTACTTTTCAGCTTAAGCATGCCAGTTTGTAACCTGTTATTATAATGTGATTTTAGATTTCACCAAAACCACATTTTTCAAAGACACTGTTCTTGCTGAATTTGCATAATATACTCATTACAAAACTCAACCTGAATTAGCTACAAAGTGCCAAATGTCCATTATATTATGGCACATTCATATATGGGCTGCATCATTTAAAGTCATAAGGCTAAAGCTGAAGTAATTGTACAATTTGAAAAAACCTTTTCAACATCGCCAATTTGATAGTACCTAATGTCGACTCATGTTAAGATCAGTGACACCAAAAGGATGTATGACTAAGCATCTCAAAAAAACCTAACATCTTCAAAGACATAACAAGGTTGTTTTAATGTTTCAGTGCTGTGCATTAATAGGAGAAAAACACCTTTTTGTGAGGTCACTATTTAAAAAACAAACAAGCTAAGCTAGTGCTTTAGATTAATAGTAATGTTGCTTTTTCACAAGACAATGTACAAGTGATAGTTGTATAAAAATATATGTTCTCAGAATTCAGAAACTACCAGCAGATTTAACAGATCAGAATCTGTGTACTAAGAAAAGTCAGAACACTTACTGTTGGTATCTTATCTCGGTTTTTAATATTTGGTGCTTTGTTTAATTTTATTTGCTTACACAGATAAGGAGCCAATAAGAGTCTAAAAGGGATTTGTGTTCAATCAAGTAAAATCCACAGTGGAAACTTGAAAATGATTGAAGCAACAATTACTCAGCATGGATACAATGAATGATTTTTGAGAAAATTTTGTAAATGGAAATCAATTAGAAGTTTCAAAAACAAAGATAACAAGAAAACTGTCACTCGACACATTTATTACCTTAGTAGTTTGAGCTATTAAAAAGGTGCTTTACTAACAACAGCTACTAGGTTAACCCTATTAGTTCAGTTTCTACAACACTTACCTGGTGTGACAAAGGACTTGGGTTTGATCCTAAGCCCAGGAAGTTCAAAAATGGATTTACCACTGGCATCCAACTAATGGTCATCAAACAACACTGAGATAAGGCCTGAAGACAGGCCTTGCTTGTGAGAGATTGAAGAATGTGGTAAATACTGGGTTAACCCTCTTACTCAGTTAAAAGAGCACTCACCAGGTGTGCAATAACTTCTGGGTTAAATCCTACTTGCCAGAAATACTTTGTTTGGTTCATTATTAAGCACAAAGCTGCATTATACACCCTCAGACTTACCACTGAGTCACCCAGGGGTGCAAGAAATGCAAAAGATAGATTACCAAATTACTACCTTGAATGATTTTTATGCAACAAAAAATAGTAAAGTATTCAAAGACTTGGGTGTATCTTTCTGATATGTTAATCCCAGGAGTTTTCAGTAGTTCCATTGATATATAACACAAATATATATAAATATAAATAAAGACATATACCTACAAATTGTGACAGTAAGTTCTGTGTGTACAGGATGTGGAATAACATATATATATATATATACCCTTCTTTCTGTACGCAGAGGACTTACTATCTCAATTTGGATGTAATCTGGCAATTTCACATTAATTTTAAAAATTTAATCCTTAAAACCAGAAATTCATTAGTTTCTGAAAGAAAATTTAAAATATAGAATAGTTCAGTAAATTCATTTTCTAACATGTTAAATGAAAATAACAATAAATATTTAAATGGATGTTAAAGAATCTCAAGTACGTAAAGTGATTTCCACTAAAAAATTCTCAAGTCACCCATAAAAAATACAGAGAATATTAGAAATTTTCTCACAGAGCTTTTTACACCACACAAATGTAAGCAATACATAATAAAACTAGAGATCATGAAAATTCTAAATCACAGCAGTACTGACATAAAGATTGGATAAGAACAGAGTAAAAAAAACAATAAAGGGTGTATATTAAAGCTAGCAAGTCATAAAAATGTTTTATTCCCAAGTAGGATAAAGCAACATAGAAGGTTGCTACTGACCTCTTAAAGATAAGATTATTCTAGTAGAGCTCTTTTAAAGTTTCACACCCAGAAATTTCCATGAATAGTGTTTAAATAATATTTTTTCAGCAATAAGTTTTCCTAATGGCCTCTCACCCAATATTTATGGTTGAAGAAGTTAGAACAATATAGAAAAAAAAGAAAGATTATTCATTATGAATGGTGTCTCACTCAATACTAATGGTTGAAGAAGTTAGAACAATATAGAAAAAAAAGATCATACGTTATAAATGGTGTTTTAATTTAAAATCTGGTGGTTGGATAATGCCTTAAAATTTACATACAACATTTAGGTTTTCAATTTCACAGTAAGCATGTTATAGCTCTGTTTCTGGAAAATTTCAGCATTCTACTTTGATGTAAAATAACTTTTTTTTTGTGTGTGATTATATAACAATGATACCAAACCAATAGCATTTCTACCATTTGTGCCCAAAAAATACCAACCAACTAAACCAATAGCTACTGGTTTTAACTTTGTTTAAACCAGTTTAGTGTAACTTCAACAAAAAACTGGTTTTCTGGTACATATTACTTCAAACAGAAGGTTAAGCATAAAAATAGCAACATAGTAATATAAAATATTTTATGAAGATAACTTTACCCAAGTGTGTGTGGCAACTGTTTTTAATTATCCAATTTACAGCTTGAATATACAATACTGTAGTTCTTTCTGTCAGTGTGTAAATTATACAACAACACACTTTGTATACAGATGAGTTCAATGGCTTCCCTCCACTTCAAAAGGAGAAAGAAAATTTGGAAGGCTCATTTTATCATAATTTTCTAAATCCAACATGCTTATAACTGTTCTCCAAGTATGGAAAACACACTTTTACCATTCATATATATACATATGACTTCTTGCAGGTTGTATATGCACAGCACTACTATCCCCGTTAGAAGCCGTAGGTACGTACTGAACAAAAAATAAAGAAAGTTAATTTTGTAGAATTTTGCAAGAGAAGAAAAAGCTCATTTCACTGTAATATTTTAAACCAAACATCCTTATAAATGTTGTCGAAACCAAGAATAGCACACATTTTATGATTTATCAATTATGCATTTCGCATACATTTACCAATGTTCTTCTTCCTTTCTTCTTAAATTCATAATATCATTGACCAAGTGAAAAACAGATAACTTATTATTGGGTCATTGCAAAGCATTGAAAATTCCATGACTAGCAATCCTATAATGCAAAACTTGTATATTAAATACAGTACCTCAAACACAGCAACATCTGCATGAGTACCCAATGCACTTACAGTTCATTGTATTGTAGTTATTTCACTTTTAAAATAATACTTGAATATCAGATTATAAATGTTTGATATGGGTACACCATGTTTAGAGTTATATTTGTTGCCCATAGATCACCATAGAAATTAAAACAAGTATTAAATGTTACTTTCATTTCAATCCTTATCAAGACTTGCCACCAGAAAATTATATATAAATATAACTCGAGGCAACAGAAATACTACACCTCTACTTCTACCAATATAATATACATAAAATAAGATTATGATGCTACAAACTCTTATTACAATATGAACAGATAGATATTTTGTCACCAAATAGATGATATACATATAAACATTCTGTAAAGGTGTATTTCCAGAGCAAATATCAACACCTAGCTATTTCTTTTATTCAATTAAAATATTATCATTATTCTGTGATCAAGAGTTTTTGTTACAAATATATAAAAAAAAAATTATGGTACAGTTTGATAATCGATTATATTTAGAAAAAAGTTTCTAAATTCAATTTTCTAGCTTTAAGATTATCTATAAACAAATTAACTTTATGATAATTTCTCTCTTACAATAACTGTTGACTTCCTGATAATGTTACAATTTTTTTTTCATAATTTTAAAATGTGGAACAAAAGGTGTATTTTAATAAGCTTTTCATTTATATATATGTAAATATTTTGGCTACATACTCATAATTTATGAAAAGTAAAATAAGGAAATTCAGCAAAGGATGAAGCATTTGGGCTTAGTATTTGCAAAGTTTTTTAATGTTTCAGTATAAGATTCCAGAAAGATTTAGTAAAAAGTTTGAAATATAACTTACTATATGACTTAAGACACAAGATGTATATAGGAATTTAAAATCTCCCATTATGTATAAGAAACATAATATGTTTGAAATATGATCAAATCTAGCTAAATTGCCTATCAGAAAGTATTTAAGGACCTATAATATACACATCATTTATCAGCAAACCAGCAACAAGGAAAAAAAAGACTGAAATTTCTCCTTTAGGAAAAACACTAAAATTATCAACATAGTATCTCAACATGAAAGATTTTACAAAAAATTTAATTGCTAATATCACAATTGTTGTTCTTATAAAATATCATTTGAAAATATGTATTCTTAATTTAAAAATATCTTAAAACTACCAATAGTGTGATAGTAATAAATATATTTCTATCATAGAATAGCTAAGTAACAAAGATGTGTTTAATAAGACACATTATGATGGTGTAATGATAGAAAAAAAATTCTGTGGTCTATATCCTGATGGCTATCTAGGTAACAATAACGATTTTATAAACTGAGCAGCTGATGAATACATAATTATACTCCAAGATAATGAGTACCATTATCACCAAACTAAAGAGTATGTAACATATAAATTAACTGTCTTTAAGTTATAAATAATTACTGTATATGCATGGATAAACTTGAACAGTTGTTTAGAACTCACCAAAATAGTTTAAAAATAACAGCAGAAAAGCAAAAAGTTTTAAATTTTTTTCTTTTGTTGGTGTTTTAGCAAACTTAATAATAATTTTAACCAAGCATCAAAATATTCAAAAACATTACCTATGTTAATTTATGGATTAAAAACTTTTATCAAAACCAAAATGATTATTTCTGCAACTGTTCTGTACGTGAGCTTATTATTTTCTTTTATCTGAGAAAGATAAAAGAAATGCACTAAAATTTAACTAACAGCTTTTCTATAAAAGTAAAATGACCTATTGATCAAACAGTAAACATTTTCTGTGGAATACCATTAACTTCTGACTGAAGTTAACTTTTTAGGTGATAAAATAAACACCATTATTACTACCAGAGAAAGCTCCAGTTTCTAATTAAAGTCAATACACTGCAATTAAGCCCAATTCTATTGGCAAATCACAGTTGTCCAATATTTTGATAGAATCACTTTACTGAACATTATTTTGAGAATAAAATTATACAGGCTTTTTCAGTTGTAGAATGTGTAAATAGAGCTTAACTCTTTTCTGATAAGTTTATAATTAGAATATTTTGCCTAAATACGTCATTTAGTACGTAACATGAAAAGATAGGCGTGTCATTTTCTGACTACACTACAATAAGTAATGGTGAAAGATGCAAAAATAAAACCTTGTAAAAACCTACAAATATTAACCCTTTCACCAAGTTAATAACTAAATATATCGCTAGAAACACCCTTCACTCCAGTCATCGCCTGTCTGGTCTTCTTGTAATCCTGATCTGCCAGAGTAAGGCACTGGAATTCCTGACCTGTAAAGTTTAAAGTTTCTTTTATGTACTAGTATATCAAATACAAAACACTCAACAGATTTTTTTTCTGTTTTTTTTATCATCAAGTTGTTTATTTTTTTTAATTTTTCAGATCTACATAATAGCTATGTTCAAGCTTATTTCAATGGACCTGACATAAGTTTTTGGCCTGGAAGGGACAGCCTGTCATCAGAAATTAGCTGACAAGAAAGTTAAGTCTTCATAAAATAAATGCAAATGCTTAACCTACAAGGTCGGGAAGACAAGTAGGCGAAACTCGTGCCAAACATGGCACGCAATGAAATTTTATTAGCATGCTGAAACTTAGCGATAATGAAGGAAAGTTTCTGAAAAAAAATTAAAACTGATATAAGAATGGTAGAAACAGACTATCAAACAAAGATTCAACAGCATGCATTGCTCTTCAGTCAACAAATTACACGCCAAACATTAATGAACTTTCATTGAAAATTATCCAAAAAAAAGATGAATAAATACAGTATTTTTTAAGTATAATTGTAACTTTAAAAATTAATGAAATAGAGGTGCATGTGTTTATATATATATATATATATATATGCATGTATAAATATATGGCACATTTGGGATGTTTTAATGCAAGTAAAACATTGAGATACACGATGCCAAAATATACTTGTATTTATTTAAATCCATTAATTTTCTGTCTTCTAATATCCAGTAGTGTGTAATGTTTTAACAAATGTAAAAAAAAACATGCATGAAATGTTTTGTGATATGATACATGCACATTCAGTTGGTTTTGTTTGGGATGTGTGAAAGTGAGTTATATATTTTTTTTTTAACATAGTGTGGTCAGTGACAATTTCCGTAATTAAATGGTAGATGTGTGACAAAACACTGATTCATGAAACATTTGTTGTCGACCAAGTATTATGAGTAAAAAAACTCAAGAATAAAAGAACTTACCTATAAATTAATTTTAAAATGTCATTAAGAAAATCTAACTTTAATAAAAAATTCAAAGTTAACTGGCATGTAGAATACATCCTGATGCAATTTTATTGGAAAACAAAACTAACAATAGTTGTATTTCTTTGAATGCTTTATAGATGTAGAAAGTTAATCTCATACATTTGCAAACGTTCTTCTAAACAGTAAAGTACAGGTAAAATATTAATTAGTACATGCACTGTTTCAATATTACAGTGCACTGAAGTGATGACCAGTGGATTTATCCAACTTGACATTTTAAGCCGTTTGGTGCGACAAGCAGATTTACCCCATGGTGTCAGAAAAACGTTTCCTCATAGTACGAAAGATCAAACTTTAACATAGCTTAAATAAATATTTAAAAAAGTAAATTATCTACAAGTAATTTGAATACAGTGTTAACATCTAATTCAAATTATTGTATTTAAATAGAATTGTTTTATAAATGCTTTTTCTTTACCAAACCAACTATTTCAAGGCAATTAATTAAGAAATTCATGTGATATGTGTACATCACCGAGCAAAACCACAACTAGTGGATTTTGATATTGAAAATTCTAAATTTCATTTGTCAGTGAATAATTGACACTTTGAGAACTCACCCAAAACCTAATTATGCACTCAAAATTTTAAGCATTATATTTTTAGGAACTGAATTTTGTAAGGATTATAAATTCCCATGGTACTATTTCTGTAGGATGTCATATTTAACATTTAATTTGAATCATTTCTGATTCAATTGTTCACACTTAAAACATCACTTGCAGGCTTAACTTAACCTATTTTCTGCTTCGAACCCTCATTGAGTGTATTAAAAAAGGGACAGAAATGACATAACTTGTATCTTTTTTTAGGAAAGTTTCTTTGCTGTTTTGTTTAAATATTGTAAATTACTATGGATACCAATGGACTATTTTAGCTAAATATTATAGTGCACAAATGTAACCACATAAATTGAACTGATCATGCACAACACAATTCAAGTACAATAACACAGTTGTATATCATTCTTGATGTATTATTTTGATAAATATCATTAAAACACACAAACTTAACATGTTACAGGTTTAATATTGTTCATTTAAATTTTAAAATGTCCTATCAAAATTATCTTCATATGTAATCAAAATAAAAACCACTATTTTGAAATTTAATATTGTTAAAGTCATTTCTGTGGAAAGTAATATCATAACATTAAGTTGAAATATTGGCCAATAATTACATAAAAAAGTTTTATAAATATACTGGACAAAAATACATTTTCATAAACATAAGTTATTTTATAAAAACACTTAAAGAATAAATGATAAATACAATAACCCAATGCACGGTAATATCCTAAATTTTTAAAAAGTATTTTTTGGCTCATTTTGAAATGTTTGTAAAAGCATGATGTTCTATTTATTTCCCAGAACTAACAGTACGTGAAATAAGAAACCAATTAAGTTTTTACTAATATAATAACAAGGGGGAAAATGCAATCAAGTGTCTTATAAACACGAAACAGAGAAAATAAGTTCATTCACTGACAGCTCTGCAACTCCTAACTTTTTATGCACATTGTAAGTCAATGTTATACTTGTAAGAAATGAACAGAGCAATTACTTTGAAATTATTTTCATTTTTATTTGCTATTTCCTCAACATTTACTAGTATATTCTACAATGTTGCAATGCATTCTTTGTAATTACAACATTTGCTGCAGAGGTTCATCATATTTTAACCGACACGTTTGTAAAATCTGCCATCACAGATGTCTGCACAGTTTAAAAGTATGGTTTCTGTAATGTCTGTAACTGTGTACAAGCCTCGAAAACTATTTTTCTGTCTACCAACACAGTAAGGATAGTATAAGTGATGTATTAATCTTCAAAGCTATCTTCGACTAGTTTTCACATGAGGTGGCACTGATTTTTAATTTTTTTAGTAGTTAATAACACCTATTAAAAAGAAAAAAATAACTGTGTCATGTTATGATACCAATAATATTTAGAATAGCAAATTCTAATCATACACAAATAATTTACAACCCAGTTCTTAGCTCTATGATGGCAGCTTACCAGCATTTGAATTCCTAATGTTTAATCTTGTAGCTATTTAACAAAGACTTCTTGCTTTTATTGGGTATAAGAGAAATTTGCATGTTTCATGTACATAAATTTATAGAAAAATACCGATTTATGTTTTAAAAGTTCTATCTATTTGCATCTTTAAAAGGTAGCTAACATGAATTTCTCTTTTTTTTACTGTCTCAACATTATCTCTGTGACTATTTCATAAACTGCAGGCAAAATGTATGGTTTCAGATTTTCTTAAAATGTTTGTTTGTTTTTCTGAGCAAAGCCACAATAGGATGTCTGATGTGTCCACTGTGGGGAATTGACCCCCAAATTTTAGCATAATAATTCCATAGACGTACCACTATCCCATCAGGGGAAAGTTTGTTTAAAAGGATACTTACTTGAAAATGCAAGTAGAAAATATCCAAACCATTTTTTCCTATTGTTTGTTATTGTGATATCTTGATATATTAAGCACTTATTAATGCAGCACCTCAGTCTGGTGGATCACTAAACCCACATAGCAATTTACAATAACAAAATTCTCTGAATTTACTTAGAAGTAAATAAAATAATAACAATACTAAGTATAAACATACTACATTATATTCTAATTTATTGCAGAGTTTTAAACTGTTAACTTTAACACTTGATCTTTTTTAACTCTAAAAATAAAATACATAATATTACCTAGGCTTCATTGATTTAGAAGCTGGGATCTTTGAAGGACGAGGCAGACCAGATTTAGGGGTTCCTGCTGAAGGAGGAGCATTCCTTGGAGAAGGTGTTGTGTTGCCAATTGATTCAAAAGGAGACTGTTGTCTAACTAAAAATTTTTGATTTGGGGTACTCTGTAATGGAGACTGCTGTCGGGGACTTTGTCTGGATCCTGGAGAAATCTGTCTTCTTATTTGGCCAACCTACATCATTTATAAATTAATAAACATTGAAATCATACTTTAAATGATTAAAGTGATAAACAATTAAAATACTGAATATTTAAATATATATAAAAGGAAGTAATTTTATGCAAAATTTATAAACAAATTGCGAAGTTTATTTATAATACAAACATATACCACAGTAAATTTTAGGATAGGTTTAATAAGTAGGTTCCAGTAGGTTCAGAGCAAGAGGTAAAAAATGTGTTTACCCAAATCGTTTTGTTACTTGCCTAACAAAACTAAAAGGTTTAACATCATTAATCATCAAAGAAAGGAATATCCAAGTAGTATGTGTAAGGGATGTCCTGGAAGGAAGGCAAAGAGGTGAGAATGTGTGCCTTGTGGGAATGTGCTATTGTACTGCACAACAAAAATTTTTATCACACACATAAATAGCTGTAATTAGGTGATCAGGGGAATATGATAATCAATTAATAATCAGAAATTAAGATTAATTACTTATTTTTTGTCAGTTATGACATTAATTAATTAAGCTTGGATAGTTG